CGAGGCCCCTCCCCGAAAGGGCAAGTATTAGACCCACGAAATCCGAGACCCCTCCCCCCACCCCAATCCCCCCACCCCCTTGCTCCCCTCCCCCCCTCGGGAGGGCCGAACTGAGGCGCCCGAGGGGACCCCGCAGTTCCCTTCCCCCCTCGGAGGGGGCCGGACGAGGCGTACCCCGAGGGCCCCACTCTTTCCTTCGCATAGCGGCCACTCTTCGGATCGCTGGTCGAGCGACCCGGGGGATGCCCCGCGCGCCTGACCCAGGCGCGAGAAACGAATCTGCGAGGCGTGGCCGCACATGCGGCCCGATGGGGAGGAACGGGGCGAGCCCCCTCCAACCCACCCGCGCTAGGTCTCGGGTTTGACGCATGGGGTCACTCCCGCGAAACCCGTGAACTAGCCGGGGCAGTCGGAGAAGGGGCAACTCCGTGCACTGACGGTCGGCCGTCAGAAAACACGCCTCCGTGGCTCGGGTTACACCAATCCTCGCTACCCAACGCGGCCAAAGGATATCCACCTCGAGAACCTCGGGAGACAGGCTCGACACAGGTGCGAACTGGCGCGTGCTAGCACTATCACAGGCACACCACTGGAGCCGCCTAAGCGACTCCGTTAAGAACGGCAATGCACTTAGCTCCGTGCACAATGCCGCTCTTTTAAACAAATTTTAGCGGGAAGAATTTTACAACGAACGCGTGCCCAGTGTTGTGCGCGAAAAGAATCGCGTCTCCATGTGCTAGCCTGTGAGGAGGGCGTCCATAGACACCTCACTAGACCCCACACACGGTCTCGTCCGTGCCTCGCCGGCCGGCCGGCGAGATTGCTAGAGGTGGAGCAAGCCTGCTCTAGCCTCGCATGTTACTTCCTGTCGTCTGTTGTTTGTTGTGAGGAGGGCGTGGCGAGCATCACGGCCCAGTGGGGCACCGCCTGCCCCTTTCCAGCCTGCCCCTGCTGCTGCCCGACACCCTTTTGGCCGGCGGTGAGCACGCGCGGGTCGGCAGCAATCGGATGGCGCGCGTCGCCCGTCGGGCCGCTGGCGAGCCGGTTGTGGCGCAGATCGAGTGTGCGGAGCGGCCGCGCCGCCTCGCGACTTTCGCGCAATGCATCGAGCCACTCATCAGCGCCCTCGTCTTCAATGGCCTGCGCACACGGGTCTCGGTCGAGGGACCCCTCAGTGATCACGAATGAGAGGGTGGATCGAGGCGGGCGCACGCACGCAGTCTGCAAGGAGCAGCTCCTTGAGCGCCTTCGCGCCCGCGACAGCCCAAGCCAACCTACGGCCGGGGCGGCGGCAAGGGGGGGCGGTGGCAAGGGCGGTAAGGGCGGCGGGTGGCGCCGGTGGTGAGCGTCGGCGCGGAGGAGCGGCGTCGGGCCAGCACATGTTCGACGCGCCCCCAGTTGTGTGTTCGGCTCGACCAACTGGTGGTGAGCGCTGCGCTATAGATTGGGAGTTTAGGCATTGTGCGGGGTTGGCACGCCCATCAACGGGCATACCCAAAATACGGGACGCCTCGGGTGTGATGTTGTGCTGGTCGGAGCCGGAGCACGGTCGAAAGGGCCCTGACGCTCGACACAGACTGTCACGAAAAGTGAATTTAAGTTCGAACTCTCGGCTCTGCACAGACTGCACAAAATAGGCCAGGCTCCGAATCGAAGAGAGACTAGTGCAGACCCTCAGCCAAGCCGCCGCGAGACCTCGCGGCGGCCGAGCCTGACATGCGTGACTCCATCCAGGGGGGACACCTGTGAGCTGTGTGTGACTGAGTTAGGCTACTTGCTGTAAACCAAGCGTGATTGATGGAATCACGTCGGTGGGACCACGTCGCGCGATCGCCACCCTCTCCACCACAACGAAAAATTCTACGCTCCGCGAGACCTCGATAGAGTATTCCCCATGTTGTGAAGGCGCTCTTTTTCAATAGAGTATTCCCCATGTTCCCCGACGGCCCTTTGCCTGACATCCACACCAGGCAAGCCAGCACTTTCCTCGTCCGCTCGCGCTTGCCGCGCCGCATTGCGCCCGACTATGCCGCCGCGAGCTGCACGCCTAGACCCCCGCGACGCCTATTGCTCACGGAACCCGCCGCCCCCTCACCACCCCCACCACGCGATGCGCCGTCGCTCGTCGCGCGAGCGGCTGTACCCCCCTCCCTGCCTCGCACCGCCTGCCTACTCCCGCTCGCAGGTGCAGCCGCTGCCATCGAGGAAGCCGCGAGACGCGTCCGCTGCTGCCCATTCCCCACCCTTGTCCCGCGCGACCGCCCTCCCTCTCTTCTGGCAAGAGAGCGACCCGTTCTCGCTTGCTCGCCAATCGCCGCCCGGCTCCAGTCCGAGCGCCGAGGACGCGAGAGAGCGTGCCGGCGGCCTCGTCTCGACGCTCACGCCGCGACGTGCTGCCCGTAGGCGCGGCTCTCCTCTCTCCGGCTCCCTCTCTGAGCCGAGATTGACCTGAGATTGACCCTGCCGCCCTGCTCGCATCTCTGCTGCGTCTAGAGAGTGCCACTCTGTGTCCGTAGCCGCGAGGGCCACTCGAGAGCGCTGGCCTGCACCTCCCATCGGGGACACCACCCTCAACCGCTTCTTGACTCTCTGCAGGAATTCATTCGATCAACATGCTCAAACTCGAGTTCGTGCCGGCCGCCGGTGACAAGCTCGTGCTCAAGCTCTCTCCTCCGCCGCCGCTTGCTGACAAGCAGGTGCGCGTTAATTTGCGGTGGCTGAGGGAGGGGGTATGCACACGCGCACCGCTGCAACGCACGCAACGCTGCGCCTTCCCTGCAAGACTAGCCTCTCGCGTTCTGTGGCTGACAGGCGTCTCTGGCGGACAACACGACCGTCATCGACTCCGGCGGAGGCAACGCCGTCGGCATCCCCTCCGAGCCCGTCTCGCTCAAGGATGGCATCGACACCGGCACCGGCGGCACCGGCACCGCCAGCACCGGCACCGGCAACGTCCCGTCCGAGAGCGAGCCCGGCCCGCTCAAGGACGGCATTGACGCGGGCGGCGGCAACATCGCGGGCGAGCTTTCGCCGATGACGTCCTCCGCGAAGGTCGGAATCGTGCCGGCTGACGACGGCCGCATCACGCTCGTCATCTCCGCGTCGGTGTCGCCTTCGCTCCCCGGAGCCGAGGTGCGCGTGCGCACGCCAGGATTATGATGATCCCTCTCCCGTCTCCGAAAGCCTGCGCGTACTCTCCCTCGCCCACAGGCGTGCGGCGTCAAGAACGTCAACATCTCCGTCGCAAAGTCTGGCCCGGAGGGCGTCGTCAAGAAGGACCCGGCCGCGGAGAAGGCGCCCGACGCGGGCGCGGTCGACTCGGACAAGGCCGAGGCCATGTCCGCCGCCCACGCGCCGAGCGAGCCCGGCCCGCTCAAGGACGGCATTGACGCGGGCGGCGGCAACATCGCGGGCGAGCTTTCGCCGATGACGTCCTCCGCGAAGGTCGGAATCGTGCCGGCTGACGACGGCCGCATCACGCTCGTCATCTCCGCGTCGGTGTCGCCTTCGCTCCCCGGAGCCGAGGTGCGCGTGCGCACGCCAGGATTATGATGATCCCTCTCCCGTCTCCGAAAGCCTGCGCGTACTCTCCCTCGCCCACAGGCGTGCGGCGTCAAGAACGTCAACATCTCCGTCGCAAAGTCTGGCCCGGAGGGCGTCGTCAAGAAGGACCCGGCCGCGGAGAAGGCGCCCGACGCGGGCGCGGTCGACTCGGACAAGGCCGAGGCCATGTTCGCCGCCCACGCGACGAGCTCGCCCGCCGTTTTCTGGTCCAAGTTTACGCGCCCAACCGGCCCACCGACGGCCCCCACCGGTGCCGTCAAGGGCGCCCTCAAGAAGGACATCCCTGCGGCAGAGTCTGGCGCGGAGGCCTCCGTTGACACGACCGGCGCCATCAACGACCCGGCGCTCAAGCCGGCCACCAAGGTCGCCACGGCCCTCAAGCCGGCGGCGGTTTGCGGCGAGACGCTGCCGTCGATCAAGGAGTTTCCGGAGCCCGCCCAGGCGGCGAGCGCCTTGCTTCTGAGCCGTGCGCCCGCCGACCCACTCCTTAACCCCACCCCGCTTTCATTGCGTAGGGCGACGACGGCTGGACCGTCTCGGCCAAGGAGTTTCCTAAGGAGAAGCCCGCCCCGGCGGCGAGCGCCGCATTCTGTGCCGTGCGTCTCCCACTTACTGACCCCATGCGCGTTCGATGCGTAGGGCCAGCCCGACTGGATTGTCTCGAACTCGCGCAACAAGACGGAGCGCAAGGGCGAGGTCAAGTCCACGAAGGTCTCCAACAAGTACGATCTGCTCGAGGACGCCGAGACGAACGTCAAGGCGGAGATTGGCGAGGACGAGGACGAGAAGACTGGAAAGGAGAAGGGCACGGAGAAGGAGTCCTCGGTGCACGCCCTCCCACACAGACGACACACACTGCCCCGCGCCTTTGCTTGACAGCGCGTCGCGCGCGCCGCAGTTCGAGTCGGTCTCGCCCGAGTCTGTCGGTGGCATCGGCAAGGCGCCCCGCGGCTCCACGCCGTTGACCACAGACTCGGTGCTCGCCGCCTGCATACGCCGGATTCTCCTTTACCGCCAGTCTGACGACCACGCCCCCTGTTCAGGGCGCGACGGCCAACCCCAAGACGACCACGACCGCCACGCCGAAGGGCTCCGTCTCCGCCTCCGGCTGGCTCTCGTGGCCCAAGCTCTGCTGGCACAACGCGCTCTGCTCCGTCTTCATCTGCCTCATCGTGGTGAGCGCGGGCGGCGGGGCGTTCGCCTACTTCTCACACGGCTCTGACAACCTTCTCCCTTCGATTGTGCTCGACGCGACGGCGCTCCCGACTGAGCGCGGGCCGCTGTTTGCTCCGTTCAACCCCACGCCGGACCCGGTGGTGCCCGACCCGCCCAACGTGGTCGAGGACCCCAACTGGCTCATCGCCACCTCCGGCTTCTGCTCGAATCTCAACGTCGTCATGAACGAGCGCGACGTCGAGGCGAGCGAGACGCCGGGCGACAGGGACGGGCACTTTGTCGCGGACATCTCATTTACCTACTACCCGCAGACGGCGGTCAAGTTCACCGACATTCCGTACCACAAGGCGAACACCATCGAGGGCGACAAGAATGAGGCGGACGCGCTCGTGTCGAGCGCGTGGGACCACAAGAACATCGCGTTGCTTGAGCCGACGTCCACGTGCAGCGCCAACGAGCAGAACGACCTGTCGTGGGCCATCTCGGTCTTCAAGGTGGAGGAGCACCGCCACTGCACCGACGGCGAGACGGCATGGGAAGGTCACCCGTGCGTGCACTACAGTGGATATGTGTCGGAGGCGACGTCCAATTTCGTCAAGGTCAACGAGGCGCGGTTTCCATGCCAGCTGTTCGTCGACTCAGCAATAACCTCTGAAGCCAGGGGAAAGTGTGGCGCAGAGCCCGCGCGAGGCTGTGGAGGGCCTCGTTCTTATTGCGAGAACTTAAAGGGCCCCGGCTACTATGATCCCAGCTACTTTCACGATGTGGCTGCCAGTTGCGTACCGATTATGAGAGTGTTTTCAGAGTGCGACCCCAACATACCAGGATCTATACTCTATTTGGGGCTCGGATTTCACGGCTTGGACGGCAAAGCTTGGAAAGACAACGCAGGCCTCCGCGGAAGTTTGACGGCTTGGAACGACAGGATTCGAGCCGTTAGTATCTCAAACGACTACTATGCGGTCATTTACTCAGGTTCTCTGGACTATGGAGATGACGCGATTCGGAATAAGCTAGACAGTGCGGATCAGTGGAGAGCTGGGGCAGGCACGGAAGACAGGTGCACAGATGGCCGCCCCTATAACAAGATGTTAGAAGATAAGACGATAACATCGATCTACGTTTGCAGTTGCCACCCACACCTTCAGGGGGAATCCATTGACTACAGCGATTTCAACGAAGCGGCGGTATGTACAGAAAATCTTCAAAAGAGCTGCACGGACGACCCTTCCGTGGTGTTGTATACGGATTCCAGCTTTAATGGGCGTCCCCTATACTTTTTTGGGACCGGCTACCACGGCGTGAAGGATTTCAACCGCGCGCAGATGAACGACAAGCTCAGCTCAATCAAAGTTTATTCGGGATACGTTGCGGTGCTGTTCGAAGATATGGGGCGCGGCGGTAAACTCCAAGTGTATGAAGATGACACTCCCAATGTTGCTGGATTCAACGATCTGGCCTCATCACTGCTGATCCTCACCTCCAAAGAGGGGTGCAAAAGGTTCGGTGGCTGCAAGCAAGTGCCCGCGTGCAGTGGTTGTTCTTCGACGGAGTATTGCAAGAGCGAGGAAGAGGACTTCGAATGCGAGACGAAGCTGCCAGACGGGGACGCCTGCTTGTACGACGCAGTCTGCAAACACGGCAAATGTCGGAAAAACCGGTGTTGCCCAGAGAGCGGGGGGGGGGCAGACTGCGACGACGAACCTGAGGGTGTTCTGGCTACTCTGGTTCGAGACACCCTCGACAGGCTCATGGGATCTCTCGTCCACGACTTCTTGAAACCTCTCGTGGAAGGCACCTGCCAGGTGATGAAAGAAGGGATCTTGGAACAGCTCAAAAAAGTGGGGAAGCTCTGCCTGGTCTCTGAAGATGCCGACGAATGCTCCGCGATCCGGAATCCAATCTGGGACAAAGAGGTCTTCAGCACCAGCTACAAGGGCAACAAGATCCTATCGGTGCATGCTAACGTGGAGCTCAACGCGTGCATGGAGGTGAAGACTATGACGATCCAGTGCGACGCATTGGCCGATTTTGTTGAGGAAACGGCCAAAGACTGGCTCGGAAGGAAGGTGACGGATAAAGTCGTTGGCTGGGTTGACGACTTGGAGAAAGATGTGATGGACCTGTTTTTCCGGCGCCGTCTTGCGGCAAATGGCGACGGCCGTACGGTCATCGAGCAGATTGCGGAGGCCGCCTTGAAGGAGGTCAGCGGCGAGGGCCACCGCCGTCTCCACGAAGCGCGCGCGAATCCCGACCACCGCGGCTCCATCGAGGTGCAAGCGTACCAGCGGGGCGTGGAGATGATTCAGCAGAGACTGGCGGATGCCTTTATTGCGCGCTACCAGGGAAGGGGCCGCCGCACTGAGCTACTAACTGAGGAGCAGAAACAAAAGTATGAGGCAACGAAGAAGGACATCGACTTTGGCGAGCTCGAGATGGAGTATTCACTCGAGGCGGTGGCGACGGTGACGGCACACGCGGAAACGGAAGTCGACGAGCAGCGATCTGTGGATCTGCTTGAGCTCTTGCTGGGGAAGAAGGCACAGTTCAGCCAGTCGGGGCGCTTCACTCCGGTGCCGTTGCTCTTTGCCGTTGGCTTCTCCGCGGGGGTCGAGATGGGCCTGCCACTGGAGATGAAAGCGTCTTTTGCGGGTAAGGCGACGATCACTGGCACCGTGGGCTATGTGCGGACGTGGACGCTCACAATGAGCAGCAGCGGTATGTCAAAGCGCCTCACCAACATAGGGGAGGACGATGGTGTCACGATCAAACACACTGGAGAGGTTGCGGCCTCTCTCTCTGTCAGCATCGGCGCCTACGTTGACGTCAACCTGCGCTTTGATGTGTACATCGCCACCGTCGTCAATCTCTACGCGGAAGCAAGCGCCAACTGGAGGGCCACGGCGGGCGGTGACCTGGCCGCCTGCGCATTCGATAACACAAAGGCCAGCACGAAACGCATGTGCGAAAGCCTGACCCCGCAGCTGGCACCGTCAGACAAGGTCGAGTACAATTCCGCGTCGACCGAGGTGCCAGATGGACAGGGAGAAGGTTTATACGCTCAGGTCGGCGTGTGGGTGTACGTGCCGTACCCGAAGGTGAACGTCAATGCTGGGATTGCCTTCCCGGGGAGCGACCAAGCCGAGAAGTGCCTGGGTCTCACGCTCGGCGTGCAGTGGCATAAGAACTGGACTGGCAGCATGGTCAATCTCACGGCGTCGAAGACGTTCAACGTACTCGGCGGGGATGCCGAACCGAACAGGCTCCCAATTCCCCCACCCTCTCCGCCGCCACAGTGCACCTCCGCTAAACCCTATGTCGGGGCATTCACCAGCAGTTCCGACGGTTGCGACAACGACCTGCCAACAGATTGGTACCGAGCCCCCTCCGGCTACAGCATGATTCCAACCTCCGCCCCGGCGAAGTCGACATGCGGCACCTCAGCTACCGGCTGGCTCACATACACTGACGGCAGCACCTTCACATACCCGACCGCGTTCGGCCAAACATTCTCGGGCGTCAGGGCTTGCTTCCACTGGTCGGACAGCGGCAGGGATTTGCCCTGTCAGTGGCATTCCGACGGCCTGGAGGTCACAAACTGCGGAAGCTACCACGTCTTCTACCTCCAGCCCGCGACGACATGTAACCTGGGCTACTGCTGGGCAAATCCCCTAGCCTCCATAGCTAGGGCAATGCTAAGATGATAGCAAAGGACCCTGGGGCCAATAGCGAACGACAGTCGGTGCAAATATGATGCGGCCTGGGAAGATGTGTATTAAGACGATAGCGAACGACCCTGGGGCCGAAGCAAGTAGCGAACCAACAATCGGTGCAAGTCCGGCATACGCGCAGGGAAAACGAGTGCGCGGCCCCAGGCTACTGGAAAAGGTAAGACGATACGAGAGCCCTTCACAGGCCTAAGCCCACGGCGCCAGAACTCAGTGGCAAAAACACCCACTGGCGACCCACCGTGGCAGCGAGGATTCCCGGACTACTGGACAAGGTAAGCGGTAATGCAGCGCAATACGAGCTGGCGGCGCGACGGAAAACGAATGGACTCTCTCTAACCCGCAACTCTAGCCCTTCACAGGCGTAAGTCCACGGCGCCAGAACTCAGTGGCAAAAACACCCACTGGCGACCACCGGGGCAGCGGCGGTGTTTCTCAAGATCGTATCTTGGCGAGCTGCGTGTGCGCCTAACATTAAAGGCACCAGCCTCGCCGCTACCGTGATTGTAGGTGGGGGGGGGGGGGGGGGGGGCGTAAAATGCGTGTGTAGTAGACAGTTCTAAATCCAATTCAAACAGCGGGACTATCGCACACGGTTCACGGGGGGGCAAGGGCACTACGACCTCCGCCTCCGAGGGCAGGCGCACGAGGCGGGCGACGGCCGTCGGCGGGCGTCGGCGGGCCCGGCGATGGCGGGACCGGCGTCGACTTCGACCTGTTCGATGACAAGCCGGACCCCGCAACCCCCATGGAGGACCTCTGAGGTCCTCTCCAGTCTCACCCCACCTTACCTCTGCCCCCTCATCCCTCTGCCTCCCATAGGGCAGGATAGCACTAAAGCCGTAGCATATGCGCACCTAGTGCGCACTGCTCCGGCGTCTGGGCCCACATAGGTGACCCGCCCACTCGAGAATTTGCAATATGCGGCGCCCGGATGCTAGTGCTTGAGAAGGCACGCGGCACGGCCCGTTTTGGCAGGCGCAAAGAGATGCATGCCACCGAAGGCGCTGTCGAGGTTCGCCGAGCGCGGCGCAGGTTGAGGGACACCGTCACCGACGAGCGCGTTGGACTTTTCACTCCGGACAAAGACCGCTGCACAGCGGACGGTACGGGCCGTGCAGCGGTCATAGCGGCGAGGCGCGGGACCGTCTGTGGCGAAGTGGGAGCGGCCGCACACTGCTCGCTACCCCCCCTGCACACCTAAGCCCATGGCCGACCCCCCCCCCCAGCAGGAGCGCTCTGCTGCTGGGGGGGTCGGGACCCCCCCCCCAGCAGGAGCGCTCTGCTGCTGGGGGAGTCGGGACCCCCCCCCAGCAGGAGCGCTCTGCTGCTGGGGGGTGCTGGCATCTCTGTACAGACCTTGAGCTATGCGTGTGTGTGGTAGTACAAGATAGACTCAGATGGTCACAAGTCTTTAGTAAAACGCCAGCACTCGACAGCACGAAGGTGTATTGGGCTCGAAGGCGCGGTGAACACAACCGCCTCGAGCGTACCGCTCAAACACGAGCCGAGGGGGCGCGGGAGGGGGGCGGCGGGAGGCGGGAGCTGGGTCCTGTGCGCTCTGCTGCTGGGGGGGTCGGGACAGTCGAAGCGGCGGTGGAGGTGGGGGAGACGGCGGCAGCAGAGGAGCGCCTGTGTGACCTCTGCTGGGACGCGCCGCGCTCGGTCCGCTTCGCGTGCGGCCACGCGCTGTACTGCGAGACATGTGCGCCGCGTGTGCTGGAGCGCGACAGCAACTGCCCGGCCTGCCGCCAGCCAGCGCTGCCCATCGCCGCAACTGGGCGGCTGGTGGCGGCGCAGACGACGTTTGTCCACCAGCCGCCCACTCGCACCGTGCCCCAGGCCCAGCCCGTGGGCGCCACGGCGGCGGTCGGTGGGCGAGGGGGGAGAGGGGGGCGTGGACGGGGCGGGCGGGGTGGGCGGGGCGGGCGGGGTGGGCGGGGCGCGGGGCGCGGCGGCTCTGCTTAGTGAGCTGTGAGCTGTGAGGGGTCCGCCCGCATGCTAAGTTACATCTGCACTTTTCATGCACACACGACACGAAATCGCAGCGACAGCGTCGCCGCCGGCGGCAACCCGCCCGCCGCGCGGGGCCGCGGCCCCGCGGGGCCCCGCCGCCCGCGGCCCGCGCACGCTCCAGCTAGACCGTTTCCAGCTAGAAGCCATACATCACAGAGCACATCACGGGTGTGCCGAGACTGCGACACGCCACCAGCGGCGAGGATTCCGGCCCTTCTGGAGCCCCACGGGCCGGCCCCGCGCGGGACGACGAACCGAGACGCTCTGCGCGGCCGATTCTTACTCGTCTACCTCCAAT